GCAGTTTCAGCTATTGCCACCACACAAGTGGAAAATTTCTGAAAGGGTGAAAATTAAGGTGGCATTTAGTGGAAACTGAATTTGCCACTATCTGGTGGCAAAATGGTGGAAAATTGTCTAAATACTCCACCAATTTTCCACCCTTATGGTGGCAAAAGGTGGAAATAAGTGGCATTTGGTGGAAAATAAGTTTGCCACTCAATGGTGGCATAATGGTGGAAATTTGTCTAAATACTTGTAGTGTTGTTAGTATTTAGAGATTAGCTCCGCCTACTTGATTAAATATGCACACTCTGAGAACTATCTCTCTGAGCCCTCTTTGATAGACAGTTTAGATTACACATGCAATGTAGCAACATCTCTGTGAATACTCTTGTGAATAAATCTTAGAATAGAATGTTTATAATTATTGAGTTTTCAATACAGTACAATGGCGACGAGGATTTAAAAAGAAAAATTGGATAACATGATATTTGTTTGATTAAATTATATAAGTGAACACCGGAAATTTACACATTTTGGAATTTAAAGTTTAAAACACTTTTCCTGGACTTTGTTACAACTTAGCTCTATCAATAATACTGATACAGTGACAGTATGGCACAAGGATTGCCAGTTTTTCCAGCATTTGGTGTAAGTGAACCTGGTGTTGACACAAGATGGAGGAAATGGACAGGTCGATTCGAAAACTTAATGATTGGCATGGACATTAAAGATAAAAAACGTCAGAGAGCCTTATTTCTACACTATGCAGGGGAAGAGGTAAATGACATCTTCGACGTACTGCAGAATACAGGGGATGACTACGAATCAGCAAAGATAAAGCTAACAGAGTACTTTGCCCCCAAGAAAAACACAGAATTTGAGATATATAAATTTAGACAGGCAAAACAGGAATCTAATGAAAACATTGATAGTTTTCACACACGTTTAAGACACTTAAGTATAAACTGTGAATTTTCGGAAACAGACAAAGAAATTAAGTCACAAATCATTCAAGGCTGCACCTCAACTCGACTGCGTCGCAAAGCACTAAGCGATGACCTGACATTAGACAGTCTCATCAAAGAAGCAAGGACACTAGAACTATCAGATCAACAAGCATCTGAAATTGAAGGTCAAGCAAAATATGACGTCGTTAATGCTATGAAATCACGACAAAGACAAAATCAAAAGGCGCAAAAAGAAAGACGCAGACACATCATTAAGGAATCAATATGCAGATACTGTGGCTATGAATATCCACACAAATCAGGAAAATGCCCAGCCAGTGGAAAAACATGTACATATTGCTCAAAGAAAAATCATTTTGAAGCAGTGTGCTTGTCAAAGAAACGGGACAATAACTTCACATGCCAGCTTAATGACAGCTCACAAAGTGAAAGTGATAAGGACAAAGAAAGTGTACTTCCCAGGCATGGATCAACAAGTTGAAAATATGTGCAAAAGCTGCATTCCGTGCTTAGCAGCAACAAATTCAAAACAGCATGAACCTTTAAACATGAGTGATATGCCAAAATACCCATTTCAAATGATTAGCTTGGATTTTTGTGGCCCATTTCCAGATGGAAAATATCTGCTTGTACTAATTGACGAATATTCACGTTTTCCTTTTGTAGAAGTCTTAAATTCCATAACAGGAAATACAGTGATCCCTGTGCTGGACAAAATATTCTCAGAAACCGGAATTCCTGAAATTCTCAAGTCAGACAACGGCAGTCCTATGAACTCTCACCTATTTAAAAGTTTTGCAAAACACATGGGCTTCAAACATAGGAAAATAACCCCATTATGGCCACAAGCAAATGCTGAATGTGAGCGATTCATGAAAACCATAGGCAAGTCAATACGAGCTTCTCATGTGCACCATACAAACTGGAAACAAGACATGTATGCATTTTTAAGGAATTATAGATCTACACCACATGGGACAACGGCCGAAACTCCTGCACAATTGTTCTACGGGAGGCCTATTAACATCAAAATTCCCATGGTTCAAAAACAAAAGAAATCTAAAAATGACATAAAGGCCAGAGAAAATGACAGAAAATCAAAACAAAAAATGAAAGAATACGCTGATAAACGAAGAAACGCTCGGAAAACTGAAGTTAAAATAGGCGACAGTGTGTTAGTAAAGCAAACCAAACAAAACAAACTCACAACTCCATACGACCCTAAACCGTATGAAGTAACCAAGAAAAAAGGATCAATGATAACGGCAGAGCGAGAAGACAAACACATCACTAGAAATTCATCACATTTTAAACGTGTCGGCAACTCTCAGACCCAAAGTCTAAATGGAAATTCTCCTTTAAATGTCGAGGGTGAACACAGCAATACAGAACCAATTTACAATGAAACGAGCATAGAATCACAATCCGATGAAAGCACAATGTTTGAAACCTTACCTACATCAAATGAGTATACTTCTTTGCGAAGATCTGAAAGGCACAGAAAACCACCTGACTATTTAAAGGATTATATGTGTAAATAGTGTTAAATAGTGGCATAATAATCCACTAAAAGTTAGCTAAATGAGTGAAAACCACCTGTATATATATGATATATATGACTATTTAGAAGAATAAATGTATAAACAGTGTTAAATAGTGGCATAATAATCCACTAAAAGTTAGCTTCAACTTAAAAGGAACATTCATTCAAACAAACGAGTTCGATTATTTTAACTGTCTGTGTGCACAAACATTCAAAACAGGGATTTAATATAACTGCTGATAATCATACAATTCTTTACTATGTGCTTAAATCTCCAGAGGAAAATGGAATACAAGTATAAATGAAACATTCAATTAGCATTTTGATACTTAAACTATTTGTGTATCATTTAGATTCTATCTTCAATCTTTATTCTAATTTGTTTTATTTCAAGCTGATAAAACCTGTTTGTATTGTGTAAACATTGAAAATTTACTCAACACAGTTTAGACATTAAGTTAATTTATTGGACTACGGACAGTCAGTAACTTTCTAGACTTATTGCCTCTAGAACATAAACTGAGATTAAATGTGATAGCAATCAAGAGACTATCATTACTGGATATAAAATAATCATTAACTTGTAGTGGCAGCGCCAGCGTGAAATAAACACCTGTGAATCAATGGATATCTGAGACAATAACATTACTGTCAGACAAATAATTAATGTCCTTCATTAGGACTGACCAGTGAACTTTAAACCTAAGCAAGGCGGAGATGTAGTGTTGTTAGTATTTAGAGATTAGCTCCGCCTACTTGATTAAATATGCACACTCTGAGAACTATCTCTCTGAGCCCTCTTTGATAGACAGTTTAGATTACACATGCAATGTAGCAACATCTCTGTGAATACTCTTGTGAATAAATCTTAGAATAGAATGTTTATATTGAGTTTTCAATACAGTACAATACTCCACCAATTTTCCACCATTATGGTGGCAATAAGTGGAAACAAGTGGCATCTAGTGGAAAATGAGTTTGCCACCCTAAGGTGGCATAATGGTGGCATTATGGTGAAAGTTTGTCTAAATACTCCACCAATTTTCCACTCATTGGTGGCATTTAGTGTAAAAAAGGTGGAATTAACTGGAAAATTATATAACATCAGTCCTGCTCAAATTTTTCACCATTTTCATGATTTGGGTGGCGTTTTGGTGGCGTTTTGGTGGCATTATTGGTGGAAAATTGTCTAAATACTCCACCATTGAAAAGGGTGGCATTTTAGTGGCAAATCTAGGGACGGGCAGTTCAATTACAACCGTATATGTTTACATTTGGGTAATGGATAATTATTTAACGAACATAGTTTACTTTGTTTGTTTATAATAATGCGCCAATTGTAAATATTGCTTATACCATATTATTCAGATAGAGATTTTTAAAGTAGGTCTCGGCAAAGTTTCACTGTCTTTAACTAATTCAAATTTGTCACGTATAGACAGCTCTCGTCGAATTCTTTTAGGCTATGGAATAGAACCTCGCACTGATAAATGTCGTTTCAGTTGCGTTGTCATTTTTGGGAAATGAATATACAAAAAGCAATGCAGTATAATAATATTCTATTTTTCATTCATACTGATTTTAACTTATCAATTTCTCGTGCATTTAAACGGTAACATCTAACTGTAAAAAGAGACATAATTAACAAATCAGATAATTATTGTTCCGTTACCGCTCAGTTCGCGTATTAGACACAACCAATTGATAAGTACACAACGTTATTCACACCTTCGTCGTCCGGTATTGTTAGGGTAATTGTCTATATAATGGACCTTGTAGTCCCCTTTCAACCGTCTGATATTCGGTTTTGACAGATTCCGGTATTGTCAATGTTTAATATGTTGTAAAGTTGAATTTCACTTACAACATTTTGCATAATTATTGTGTAACATTGCATAATATTTTTATAATTATCTGACTTTACATAATATTGATAAAAAGAAATATTTCTTTTATAATACATCATGCATGTACTTTTACATTTATTTTTACTAAATAATAAGGGCATTTTTCTGTGTCATTTCATCTCAGAACAGATTGAACTTTTTAGTGGACAATGATGTCATACTTTTTAACCCTGGCCAATACACTAATTGACCACCTGTCACTTTGCCTGGCCTAGAAACTTAGAAAATTACAAGTAGTTGATTTTTCTTGTCTTTAGCATTTATATATATGTTTATAAATATGTTTAGTTTTATATTAGTTTTTAGTTTTATTGTTACAAATATTTTGTATAACTTTATTACTTTATTATTTTTGTGATCATGGTCAATTATGCTGCTGCAAAATTTTCCATGATTCATAATCTATATTTAGAAAACTTAATAGTTATGTAAAGCCTTAATGAGCTCTGATTGGCTAAAATTCTTTGACCAATCAGAGCAGTTCTGCATTTACTGGTTCCACTCAAAGTACTGGTTCCCAGGAGTGTGCATAAATACAGGCACTTTGCAGAATTTTGGCAGTCTGAAGCAAATTTTTGGAGAGGTAACAACTAAAATTCTCAGCTCAAAGAATTTTCCTAATTAATTAAATAATTAATTATTTTTAGTAAATATTTTTCTTCATAAAGAAACTTAGATAAATTTTCATCAACACTTTGAGCTGCTCTTATTTTTGGAATATTTTTTGATTAATTAATAAGCTATTAATTAAGTAATTTAGACTCATTTTCTTTGTTTAATTTGGCAGCCATCTTGGATTTTTGTAGATTTTATTTTTCACTACTTTTGTAACTTGCTGCTACAATTACTTATCATGTAAAAACACAGACTCATTAAGAATATTTTTCACACTCTAAGGGCAATTACCTCATCATGTGGCATTTCTTTTTAACAGGCATAAATGTTTTGTTCAATTTATTCATTTTAACAGCAATATTAGTTTGTTTTGCCACTCTCTCAATTCAACAACAAATCTTGCAAACTTGGTTGACTATTGTTAACAATGACTTTGTTATTTTGCATAATTCTACTTTGAAAGCATGTGTTTAAATGTTCATAAATGTTTATAGTTGATAGTTTATTAAAAATTTGGTTGGTTTAAAATTTATTTAAATCTTGTGTTTTTAATTTCCCTTTGCATTCAAAGGGTGGTGTCATCCTGACAATTAGATTTTTCCCATGAACTCCTGAGCAAACTAAGAACAACATAAAGAGTAATAAGTGACCTAATTCTATTTATAGAAACAAAAAGCTTTAAAAATTAGCACCACAACAAATACAATAGTTTAAAGAAGGGAAAATTTGGGACTGAATTATTCGTCCGGTATTTAGAGAGTTCTGATTTTCTCAGCGTCCGGTTTTCTCAAATTTCACTGTACATTAAACACAAAACTTACAACTATGCCTAAATTTCGAATCGTTCAAGGACAAAAAAATTGGCTAGCCAAAAAATTTACACCAGAAGTTAACTGCACACAAATGATAAAGGAAATGACAGTAGAAGAACCACTATCACCATTACCGAACTCTCCATTTAGATCCAACGTAAATTCGCCGACACATACAATCTCAGATGTAACAATTTGCCAAGACGAAAAAGACGATTTTCTATACACAAAACACATGGACATAATGATTTACTCGATCTATGGTATTTTTAATTAAATAACAATAACTTCATAATAACTATAAACATTTATTATAATTATTTTCTAATTATTCATATAAATAACTATATACGGACAAAAGAACCACCTACCAATAACTTCTATAAATAGATTTGATCACGTGACAAAAAGAACCGTCAAATCTGTACCTTAGTTGAACTAGAACTGTGTCCAAAGGACACGGATGCCCCCACTGACAACATATGGTATAAAGTGAAAAAATCAACAAAGGGCCATAATTTTGTTCAATTTGGTCGCAGCAAAAAATCCTTCCTTTACTTCCATCTACACATTAAGCTTGTTCATCCCTGGAAGTTTAAGCAAAATCTGCCATCCGGTTTAAGAGGAGTTGCGTTCACAAAATTTCTACATAGTATATAGTGAAAAAATCAACAAAGGGCCATAATTCTGTTAAATTTGGTCGCAGCAAAAATTCCTTCCTTTACTACCATCTTCACATTAAGGTTGTTCATCCCTGGAAGTTTAAGCAAAATCTGCCATCTAGTTTAAGAGGAGTTGCGTTCACAAGATTTTGGGACGGACGGACAAGTGCAACGCTATATGCTCCCCACTTTGTGGGGGCATAAAAATTCTGATATATCTGTACCCTGATGAAGGCTATTGAATAGCCGAAACGTAGGTCTTAAATAAAATTATAGAAACCTGACCCACTTTGTTTCGTGTGTTTCACTTTCCTTATTCTTTTTATAAATTTATTTGCTTGTCAGAAATGGTAAACAAATTCAGTCCGGCTTTGTATTTCAAGGTGTGCGGTCGTCTTTTATTATCGCAGTTCTTAAAGTGTAAAAGTTAATTTTTAAGTTATTTTAAGTGTTTTGTCGTGTGTTTATGTGGTACATTCGTGTAATTTGTGCGTGTTTGTTTTTGTTTTTGTTAAGTGTGACCTGTGGATTTGTATGCTATAGTGCGTTTCGGACAAATTGTGATTTTGTTTGGTGTTTGAGTAAGGGAACAATGCCTAAACACAGGGAGAAATATACTTGTCCTGTGTGCAAGTTGTCTGTAAAGAGACTAACGCCGCATCTTAAATATCGGCATCTAGATGCGGTTACACGACTTACCGGAATCGGCCGAATTACCGGAATCGGCGGTGAATTACCGGAATCGACCTGTAACTTTGTAATAATTAAACTTTTTTAAGTTTTTTCTTTCAATTTTATAAAATATAAACAATATAAATGATTTATGAAAAGATTTTTGTCAATAAAATCGCTTTTGATTAATTTAACAAGAGATCTAATATCGGCGAGCTACTGCCAAACTGCCCGTGACTGGTCTGTTATTTCGTTGTTTATGCACCTTTTAATGTTCCATTTGCATGTGTTTATAAAACCTAAATATTATCATTAATCTTCCTAGAGATTGTGAAAAAAATCGCTTTTAAATAATAATAATAAACAAATATTTATGATCAGCGAAAACGGGCAAACTGCCGGAATCGGCGAAGGATTACCGAAATCGGCCTGTAATTTGCTTATCTTTAAACTTTTAACAAATTTTTTGCACCCTTGATTAAATATAAACAATAGCAATGATATGTAATCAGATTATTGTCAATAAAATAACTTTTTATTAATTAAACAATATATCTAATATCGGCGAGTTACTGCCATACTGTCGGAATCGGCGAAGGATTACCGGAATCGACGTATAATTTACTATTGAACTTTTTAACGTTTCTGTTGCATTGTTAATTTTCGTCTTATAAAATATAAATATTATGAATGATATTCAAAAAGTTTTTTTTTTTCTCTTTTATTTTGTAAATTTCAATTCGCCTTAGGTTAATAAAGCAAGAGATCGAAGATCGGCGAGTTACATATAATGTCATACTGCCGAAATAGGAGAATGATTACCGGAATCGGCCTGTATTGTTGTAATTTATGGACTTTGTAAGAAAAAAATGCAAACAATATCATTGATATCTAAAAAGATTTCTGAAAATGAAGAATCCTTATTCAATAATAAACTAGAGATCTAAGGTCGGCGAATTACTGCCATATCGCATATATGCAGTGCCAGGGCTATCGGGGAATTACCGGAATCGGTCTGTTTTTCCCCACCAATATTTCAACGTTTAAAAAATACCTTGAATTATTTTATTAAATACAAACAATTTAAACGATTTTTATAATGTTAATTGAAATCGGTATTAAATAAGAAGCAAAAGATTTATGAAAAATCGCTGTTATATAATAATAAAAAGATTAATATTGAAGATCGGCAAAAACGGGAAACCTGCCGGAATAGGTGATGGATTACCGGAATCGACCTGTAAATTGGTTATTTGTGAACTTTTTAAATATTTCTTTTGCATGTTTTTATAAGATATAAACATTTTCAACGATATTCATTTTTGTAAATAAATTCGCTTTTGATTAATAAAACAAGAGACCTAGCTAAGATCGGCGAATTACTATCATACTGCCGATGTAGGGGAAGGATGGGCGGAATCAGCTTGTAATATAGTTATTTTTATGTTATTTTATTAAATGCAAATAATATCATTGATATTAAAAGATTTTTTTTTGAGAAGTAAAGATCACTTCTTATAATAAACTAGATATCTAAGATAGACTAATTACTATCACAGTGCCTGAATTAACAGGGATATACCGGCCCTGTAAACATGCAGTGGTTGGGCCAACCACGGAAAATCGTCAAAGGAAAATCGTTGTTGGGCCATGGTTGGCCCAACACTAATTAACATGTACTATAAATGCAGTTGTTGGCCCAACGTCGAACCAACCATAAGTTAACGCCAGCGACATTTCTGCATTGGCCCAATAACGATAAATATGTACTTTAAAACAGATGTTGGGCCCTCGTTTGACCAACGATACATTTTCGTCAAATATATTACTGCACCTGACCCAAAATTTATTTTTTTAAACACATATATATGCATGTAGATATTTTACTGTATATAAACAGTACACTACAATGAGTAAAGACTAAAGTTTATAAAGTTTTTTTGAAGCCATGTTTCAATATTGTCACATTCAAGAAATACTCATATAAATTAAATCAGAAATGTACGTAAGAAATAATTACTTTGTGAGTCTAGAAATGACCAAAGCCCAGGCTATGCAGTAGTAGGGGAAGTATCTATATAGATCTATAGAAATCTTGAAGATCTGATGTATAATCTAAGGCAATTATACATGTGCTGAAACAGATTAACCATCCTAAATGTTTACAATAAACCTCCGGAATCTTCCACTCTAAACTCTAATTAACCTCTGGTTATGTAATCAATGAATGGAAATAGGATCATTTTGGCACTACCCATCCGTTCCCTCCCTTGATTTCGAGCTGCGTGGACGTGTTTACAGATATATTTCAATAAATTTGAATTAGACTGCAATTTCTCAACACTGAAAAATGTAAGTAGATCTAGAGTTTTTTACTTTAATCTTTAAAATAAACTTTTAATATATTAATGTATTTAAACCTGCACGGAATAAGTGTTTTAAATCCTGTTATACTATCCACGTGACCAGGTCATGTGATTAATACAAAATGGCGGATTGGTAATGGAAAATACTTTGATGTTTTCAGGTAAACAAGCCGGAATGAATTCGATTTTTGTAATGAAATTAAAACCATTTAATTATATTAAAATATGATATGTGCATAATTTTACATCTGAATTTATTGTGATAACTGCAAAAAATCTTTGATAAGTTGCAAGTTAGTACAAACTGACAAACTACAATTAGCACTGTTAAGCTCATACAATCTGCTCTGAGTAATAAATAGGTAATTTATATTAATATGTTTGGTAGTGGTATACGAAACTTTGTGTAAATTTCATTTAAAGTGTAACTTCGCATTAAGCACAAATTACTTTACCCGACTGCAAAATTGTTTTTATTTCATTTCAGACAGCAAATTTATGTCTAATTGGAGAGCAATGTTTGCCGTGTTATGTCTCACACTTTGTCTCAGGAAGTTGCCATAGAATACAACTGGGTTGGAAAAGGCTTGAAAAAACATTCGAAAAACTTAGACTTAAAACAGTCATATTAGGTTTGTATTTTTACTTTTTCAAAGTTGATTTCACCGGTGCTAAAAATTCATTTTACACCGTGGGTGTAAGATATGACTCGTGTGTTGTAAATGATCATCATGACTCTGTTTGCATTTTGACAGAATTATGCCTCTTTTAAACTTGAAAATTTTAGGTTAAAATTTTTAATTATGTCAAATATCTCTGTTACTATTAAATCTATTGACTTGTAATTTAAAATATTTCTTTACTATCAAAGTCTTATCCCTTAGCTCTGTTTTCAGTTTTTCAGCTTTATTTGCCTTTAAACTAGTTAATTCTAATTAGTAGTGTATATTTAAATAAAATCAGTAAACTGTATAAATTTCAGATGCTGTAAGAGGAAGTAGACAGGGGTCTACTCATAATGAAATCGAGAAGACAATGAAGGAGTGGCTAAGATAAGCCAAGGATATGGGAGGCGGGCGGAGGAAGAGACTGACTAAAAAGTTGCAACAACAAAGAGAAGAAAATGAAAATGATATGTGAACAACATTTAGAAATAAATTGTAGTAATTAGAATATTTTATGTTCTTTTATTTTACGGTCTCTCTGAATTCTAGGAGACATGCTGTTTTTGGTCTTGTCATCTGACGGCCAGCGTTAGTAGTAAGAAACAAGTAATTGGGCCAATGGAGGGCCAACAATAAGAGTAGGAAACAAAGTGATAGGCCAACTGAGAGCCAACTTAGATAGTAGAAAATAAGGCTTTGGGCCAACGAAGGGCCAATGTTTATTATAGGAAACCAGTCAGTGGGCCAACGGGGGGCCAACAATAAGAAGGGAAATCAGTTGTTGGGCGAACAGAGGGCCAACGATATGAAGGATAACCAGTCATTGGGCCAATGGAGGGCCAACGATAAGAGTAGGAAAGCAGTCGTTGGGCCAACCATATACCAACCGTTGGCCCAACGTTGCCCCAATTAGCAAATTGACATTGGGCCAACGTTGACATTATGTGTTGGGCCAACAAAGCAAATGTAATTGGCCCAACGTTGGGCCAACTACTGTCTGCTATCTGGGGGAATTGGTCTGTTATTTTGTTATATTTCAGCGTTTTAAAAATATCTTGCCATATTTTATTAAATACAAACAATTCAAATGATAGTTAATAATATTTATTGTAATCTATTACAAAATAAACAAGGTGATCTATGATTTCTTCCATACTACCGAATTGACGAGCAATTACCGGAATCGGCTTCACTTCGTCTAGGATTACTGGAATCGGTTCTAATTTTGTTATAAATGTGAACTTAATATTATCATTATCATTTATTTTTGCATGTATTTACAAACATTATCATTTATCTTTTATGGAATAATGCAATATTGTCTTTACATTATATTTTTCAGGACATTGCTAACAGAGGATTGTTTGAAATGACGGATAACAATAGGTCAGTTTAGTCTTTCTTTATGTTTGCATAACTCGATTCTTTATTTCATAAAGTAGTCGATTTATAATTACATGCAATAATTTTATTTGAATCTTTATTTAAACAATACAAATTTTTATTTTTTTTGGGAAAAAAAAAATTTTTTATTTAAAAAAAATTTTCCCCAAATAAATACCTTTTTTAAAATTTAAACAACCATTATTTATCAATAAATCTTTTACCTTCTTACCCCTTTTTAAAGCACCCCCAAAATATACCCCAAAATTAAAAGGGACCCCCTTTTTTGGTTATCCACCCCAAAAGCTAATTTCCAAAACCAATTAATTTTCGAAAAATTTTTTTTGGTAATCCAAATTCATTTTTTTTTTTGGGAAAAAATATTTTTACTTTTAAAATAAAATTCTATTTTTTTAAATTTTTTTTTTTTTTTGGGTTTTTAAATTAAAAAAAAAAAAAGGAAATTTTATCTTAAAAACCAAAACCAAAAAATTTTTAATTTTGGGAAAAAATTATTTTTTTTAATATTTTTTTTTTTTTTACTTAAATAAATTATTCCCTTTTTCAAATTTAAAAATAAAGAATTGTTTTATGCCTAAAAAAAATAATGATTTTTTTTCCCCCCCCCAAAAAATTCGAAAAAGTCCTGAAAAAAAAAAAAGGGACATTTTTTTATTTCAAAAAGATTATTAGGAAAAAAAAAAAATAAAAAATTTTATACAAGTTAATTTAAAAAAACCCTTGTACCCCTGAAAAATAAGGTTGGTTAACGTTCTTCTAAAAAAAATTTCCCTTTTTTTTTTGATTCAAAAAATATTATTCTTCTTTAAAGGTTTTTAAAAAAATAAATTTTTTCCCCCTAAAAAACAATAAAAAAAATTTCCGTTTCCCTTTTTCCCTGTTAAAATTTAGCATTTAAATTTTTTTATTTAAAAATGAAACAAAAAAAAATTTTTTTTCATTTTTTTTAAATTTAAAAAAACATAAAATAATTTTTTAAAACTACCCCCCCCCTTTTCCCCTAATCGGGGTAATTTAAACGATCAAAAATTTTTTTTATTTTAAAAAAAATTTATTTACAAAAGAAACTTTAAAATTTTAATATCTTAAAAAACTAAAAAGTTTTAAAAATTTCAAAAAAAACCCAAACGGTTTGGCCCCCCCTACCCGCGTTTTTTTTGGATTTTTTAAATTTTTTAAAATTTTTTTTTATTTAACAGATTTTTTTTCTTTTGCTTTTATTTTTACCATTTCAAAAAAATTTTTAAAAAAATTTTTTTTTAAAATTTTAAATTTTTAAAATTTAAAATTTTGGGGGAAAAAACCCCGATTGGAACCCCCAAGCCGGGATTTAAAAAAGGCTATTCGCCGCCTTGTCCTTTTTTTTGAAAATTTTATTTTTAAAAATTTTTTTAATTTATATTTTTTTTTTATTTTTTTAAAAGCCAAAATTAAAAATACCCCCTTTGAAATTTCTCTTTTTTAGTAAAAACTTTAATTAGCATTTTTTTTTTAAAAAGAATAAATTAAAAAAAAAAAAAATTTTTGAATATAAAAAAATAAGACGAAAAAAATTTGAAACAATTTAAAAAGGGTTAAATAGTGTATACTGATTCAATTTTTCCCCATTTACAAAATTTTGCCAAATTATATTTTTTAAAAAAAAATTTTTATTAAATAATTATAATATTTTATTTTTTTTTTTTAAAATGAAAAAAAATTTGTAAAATTTTTTAAAATAACAATTCCCCCGGGGTAAGGGGTTCCCATTCCCCCTTTTCCACAAAATTTTTTTTTTTTTAAATTTTTAAAAAGCTTTTTTTTTTGGGAATTTTTTTTGGTTTTTTAAAAACCCATCAAAGGGAAATTTAAAAAGTTGCTAGAAAGACCTCCACCAGCAAAGAGGCCAGCGAAGAGGCCTGTTAACACTCAGAGAATTATTGAAGACTGGGTGATACATCTTGAATTAGACCTAGGCGGAAGTCAAGCTCCGCCTAGGGCCTTAAGAATGTGGTGCAATAGTTCGCAGATATATGTGTTATTGCAACGCCATACATAACGTTAGAGAGGTTTACAAAGGGTGCAACCCTGAAAATATCGTAAGATATTGTAAGTCCGAATGCGAGGACAAGAGCCCTTACTGGGGCAAAGCATTGATCCTTGCCTTGGGCAAATTTCTTAGCTTTTTAGAGGCGAAGGATCTTATGCCCGACACATTGAAATGTGTTAAGGATCATGATCAAAAAACGGGCTAGCAAGGTCCAGTAACCCTCCCACTTGACACATCGGAATATGACGCGTTACTGAACCTTTGCAATCACACCGAGGTTATGTTTCCGAGCAGCGTTCACCTGTTTCTTACAAGGGAGGGTACTCCTTTTAATTCCTCGCGAGTTTCAAGAGAGCGCTAGAATGTGGTCTCGAAGAAACCTACGGCCCATTCTCGCCGGTTGACAACAGGAAGCATTTTGTTTCACTGGTGCTCAAAAAGTTTCCCCACTTGCGGGAAAAGTTGATCTATCTTCGGCCGCCGGCATTTGAGGTCAGGAAAGACCTGGACTTTACCCCGAGGGTGATTAGAAAGCAGGTCACTACAGTGTCAAGATGTCCGGATTTGCCGCCTAAGACAGCACGACCACCATCAAGTCTGCCAGGATTATCAACCACAAAAGTCTCCATCCCATCCCCGTCCTCCTTACCAGTGATTAATAACCCGTCCCTTGTAAGTCTGTCAGGACGTGCAGCATCCCCATGTGTAACCAATACCCCGTCCCGTGTAAGTCTGTCAGGACGTGCAGCATCCCCATGTGTAACCAATACCCAGTCCCGTGTAAGTCTGTCAGGATGTGCAGCATCCCCATGTGTAACAAATACCCAGTCCCGATTAAGTCTGTCAGGACGTGCAGCATCCCCATGTGTAACCAATACCCCGTCCTGTGTAAGTCTGTCAGGACGTGCAGCATCCCCATGTGTAACAACAACACCCGACACACCCGGAGCTTACTGCTCAGGTTGTCAATGACGATGACAACACTGTAGTGCTTAGTGATAATTCCTCTGAGACACAAGCACGAGCACCCCTGTGCTTACCCTGCATATTGGAGGATTTGGAAGTAATGCCGAAGTTGATACACAGCCCAATTCGGATACAGCCAGCATTAGATCGGTAATACTTAAAAGTCTGCCAGGACGTGCAGCATTGCCCATTTTTTTTCGGCCCCAACATGCATCAACGCCGACTAATGAAATGGAAAATATGTCGTGTGGGCCATCTAATACCAAAGTGACCAATTGGCTGGACAGTTGTGAAGACACTTTTAGTGTATTTAGTAAGGAGGAAAGCCGAACTTACTCTTCTGGCAAAAAGGTCCGTCAAAGACGGACCTGGACTCCAGAAGCAGAAAGTTCTTTTGGCCATGATTGGCGGTACGAAATAGACCTGGCAAAACATCTTAATAAGAAACCTTCAAAGGTGACGATTTCACTGAAGCTCGAATCCATATCAGCTGTTAGAGAGCGCTGGCGTTCTCTAACAGTTGAAAATATAAAAGATAACATTTGGGTGATTGCCAGGCGCGAGATGAAATTGTAATATGTTTAAATCTTGTAAATAAACTATTTATTTATTTATAACGCATAAACATTGTATTTAATTGATTTATTTATCTATAAAACGAATTAATAAATATTTTGTATAGACAAAAAAAGAGAAGAAAAAAATAAAAAAATAGTAAAAATATTTTGGGTTTTTTCAAAGAAGATTTTTTTTAAGTTTTTGCTATACACATATAAGGAAAATCAATGACCCTGGTGTGAAGCCAATATTGACCCCAGGGCTTTTATTTTAACAAACTTGGTAGACACCCATTAGAACAATATAATATGATATAATATTTGTTCAACTGTTATTCTTAGTTTATTATCAATTAGATTTTAGTTCTTTTAAAAACTGTATAACTCCCTTGTAATTATCAGTCCACTTGTCAGGGTTCTCGGGGACGCTTATTTCGGCGTCCCGGTACGCATGTTTATTACAGCTGGACGCAAATATTTCAGAGCAAGGATTCCATGTACGCCTAATTTTGCCTGGGGACGCATAAACATTACCGATTGTTTACAACCACAAATACACAAATGCGTCAGCGCGTGTCAGTCTATAGGTAGGCGGTCCTATGCACATCGACCCGTGAAGCGATTAGCCAATCAGCGATAACGCTTACGATCATTATCACGCAATAGTGATCAGACTAATGTATACACGCGCTGTTTAGTACATATAACACGAGGTGATAATTTTATATCTTTGATCAACAGTTGATTGGAAATTTGCAAATTTTACCGACAAAAGGATAAAATTATCGACTATTTACACCGCAAGTTTAAAGACTGTTTTCTCAAATTACAAATGAGTGTAATTTTGAATGATTGTCGAATATTTTCGGTATTTTCTAGGCACAATTTTGCTTTAGTTTCATTCTTGCAAAAACTTTCAATAAGACTATTAAGAATTTAAGATATTGTGCGAACAAACCAA